CGGTGCATATAAATAAAATATACCTCACTAGTCAATGAAAGATTTTCGAGATTGTTTCTCAGTGGATTAGTAACACTTATAGCCATGAAATATGTTCTTACCATTTCAGAGTTTACGAAATACTCTCAGTACCATGAAGGATAGGCATGAGCCGTCAACCCTGATGCATGTGTTTACAATGTTGCCGTCAGATATCATGATCTAATAATGAAGCTCCATCCACCGATGTTTTACTTTGAACTGACAAATGCACTTCTGGATACTTTAGTCAAATCTCGAATACAACCCACGTTATCTGTTTTGTATTGGATAATACTACGTGTTACCAATACAAGTACCCGACGTTTAAAAGTCGGCATTTTCCCTCGCTCAATACGATTGCAAGCACCAAATCATTAGTTTCATTTTAGGTATTTATTTCGGTGGCACTTAATCCAGGGCGGGAATGTTGAACGATGGTTCACATTTCATTCATATAAAGTAGTGTCCCGATGTATTACCCTAGTCTTGAGTTCAAGTTTTCAACTGGGTGAAGCTGTGGTTTGCGAATAAGCTACATGTCATTTCATTGACAAATCACTGTTAAGCGGAAACTCACGGATATACGGCACTATATTTCGGAAGGCCATTTGATAAAGTATGAATGGAGCAGCTCGTCTCTTGAAAAATATTTTGGCTGTCTAGATATGCCATAAAAGTGATCCGAAAACTTGATTACTGTTCTACCTAAGTCAAAATGCGTGCACGCATATAAGTGACGTTTGATGGATAAATGTTTGGAGTAGGATTTCGTCTAAGTTTTTCGATTAGTTACAGTGATACACCCAAAAAGGACTTCTCAGTAGATAACTTACCCTAATTTGGGACTTTACCCAGCGAGTTACATTCATTTTGTAATGAAGTTAACCACAATTATGGCACATGCTCTTGTGAATTTTACCTGGTCGTTTCGTGCTCTGTACCCTCTGCTCTGCAGGTACACATAAAAATCTCTGGGATTGCGACTTTGGTTTCCTGACAGCTAGTGAAGCCTCCTTCGATTCGTGACTGCATTTACCAGCTGGTATCAAAAAAACGTGAGTAAAAATAGTTCTGTTAGATGTAGCTCACTGGGGGAAAATAAGGATGATTACCAAGGTTTCATCGTTTAATAAACAAAAAGAAGTAAGGAGAAAAGTTATTTGGGAGATGCAAAACATCAGTGAAGCATATCACGTATTTCACACGGGTAGTTTAATACGCTCGTGAACCTTTAAAGAACTGCGCCAAAGCTGATCATCGCAATAGCGCAAAATGCTCAAAAACCGAACAGAAAAGAAACTGATTCCAAGGAATTTTTCTACAAGAGCAATGAATGCTAGCTGCCATTAAAATTAATTTTATGAAGAGCTTTGGGTATGTGAATGTACTTGAACTTGGTTTCCAAAGTTCTGAGCGAGGTAAGCTGAGAAATAAGAAGGATAGAAAATATGTTTTAAACGGAATCGAAGTTGTTATCCTGCATTCTACTCATAAAGTTTGTTATTTAAAAAGGTCTACAAAGATACGTTTTCGTACCAAACTGTTTTTCACATATAGGCCTACAATATGATATCAAGGGAAATTCTTTCAATACTGATAGATTTCCCCGTTGTATAAGGTTTGAAAATGTTTTTTAACAAAGTCCGTCAAGCTCAATGCAAAAAAGAAATTCCATTTCACGTGAATTTGATCGCTGGATTCAAGGTCACTTTGGTGCGCAAGTATCAGGCAACATGAATACTTCACTGGACTCCCAACTACAGAAGGCAAGTGTTGATTTTAACAGATAATTCAAATCCCAAAGAATGTCAATTGGGCGCTTAGTTCGTTTCGATGACGAATGTGTGGTTTCTTAGAGGTCCGTGGATGGGCCCAGAAAAATCAGCTGTAGTCAGAAAATCCTCCGAAAAAGTATTGCGCCAAATACCGTCATATCACAGAAGAGATGTTGATTTTAATCCCAATTAATCATCGTTGGCCTTTTTGCTGAACTTTATTTAGAGGCACCTCAAAAGGTTGAGATAACTTCACCTTTGTGACTGACGAATTCCCAGAAATCAACGAAATTATAATAGTCGGGTAGTTAATATTTGTTCACTGATAAGCCCCACACCACGTTCACAACAAGGAGTGTCTGGGTATTTACTGCAGTATGTAACTGATGGGTTTAGTATGTGTTAATGGTACAAAATGCTCTTCTAGCAATCGGTTGTTGAAAACGTTTTCCAACTGTTACTTCTTTTCTTCTGCAATTGGCTGTCACAAAATCTCGGCGAATTTCATAGGTTTGCAAACTGACCAACCTCGACCGTCTTGTAATATACTTACTTCAGAAGCTTCAAAGCTAGTTCCTAGCTCTTCAGCTAAAACGAGAGCAGTGACACCCTTGGAGATGGAGAACGTCGACGGGTCCGACTCTGGAGAATGAGAGGCGCTGTTATTTCCCCCGGTGGTAACTAGTCCCGTCATGAAATTGTGGCCTAAAGGTTCTTCGAATCTCAGCCCGAATGTTTGGTCTTGACAAACCTCAGAAAGCGATCAGTGTTGCTTACAAATATATAGCGCATCCGAAAGGAGACATTCTAGAACAACATACCTGTGGAGGTGGCTTTTGATCAGTTGAGTGAACATACCGAGTTTTTCAGCAAGAAACAAACGCGTGTCCGTAAGGCTTTGCCTATTCATATTACTGACCACACAAGCCGTTGAATTAGGAATTTATGCTTGGCTCATAGTTCGGGTGTCTTGAAGGAACCCTTTCTGAAAATGCTTCTACTGGAAAGATTGCTCAGTAAAAATAGCAAGAAGCCATATGCTGGTTCTCGTAACAATAACATGTCTAAACTAAAATAAATGCTTTGAGGGATTATCTGAATCTCAAGATCCGAGTCATCGCTGATGCAACAAGGCAAGGGTATACTTCAAAAAATTGTATTGTATAAGTTTGGGGAAGCAGAACTAGTTTTCCAGGGAAGTCCAATTCTCGGACTACATGACTGAATCGATGCGCTTGATGTTTCATTATTTGTGTACAGTCAAGACGAGGCCATGGTACGCGTGAACTAAATCAGCACTTGTTTGACGCTCATCAAAGTGAGACTACTTGTGGTAAGTGACTTGAGTTCCCCGCGGACTAAGGAAAGCTTGTGAACAACATCCATTGAAGAAAATAACCCCGTTCGAACAAAAGCACTTGCCTCAAACCGAAAGCAGAAGAAATCAGCTAGACAAGAACGGTGTGTTTAGGGCTAACCTTAGAATTTCCTTCCAGTAAAAGACTACGTACTTGTATGGGTGAACCGCAGTCACTCATTTATGAATTACTCAACAGCTCACGCTGGTTGTGAGTTCCTTGAAGTGTAAAACTGGATATTCGTTGGTTGTGATGACATCGTTAGACATCCCATTGTTGTCATTTGTATCACGATTCGCCACTGATTTTCCGCAGGGCAGGGAGGGGAAAGGCAAAAATGACAAATTTCATGGGAACAGAACTCAGTATGCGTTTCATCGGATTCCCAGAGGTACATGGATCAAGGCACGAAATGGTGGCCAGCAGCCTGAGCATTACACTGTCGTTAAACGTCCTCTTTCAAGTTGTTCGAAATGGTACGGCTCATAGGTTTGACAGTATCTCAAATATTTGCTGAAACTCACCGATATCCATCAAGTAATTGGGACGCTTAACGATTGACACTTCAATGAACAAGGGGATACGGAGAAAAAAATGTTAGGAAACAAGTTAGTGGTTACTCGCAACAGTACTTTTGCTTGGTCGGCACAGTCGTTGAAAATAGCTAGGAAATACAATTTTGAGGTTTGTGATCCGCTTGACGATTATTGGAGTATAACATGGTTCCATCTTTGATGGTTATCCATTGAAGATTTCTTTGTTCACCTGTCTACAGGATGGTGTCCGACACACAGTTGGAGTGTCGAAGAAACTTCATCATGGAGACTGGTCATCAAGGAAGGTAACCTTTGTGACTAAAGACGGGAACTGAAATTCAGAGTGAGTGCATGATTTTCGTAGGTTTTTTCTAGGATTCAGCCAGACTCTCGAAGAATCGACGATCAGTTGCACTAACCTACTTGCCTTTACCCTCTAGACATGACACGACTGATGCCGTACGGTTGACCAAGGATAGTATTATTGAACAAAACTGCCCGATATGATTGTTGTTGGAACAAGCAGACTTTCACTTCTCTCTGTTTTACTGATTGAAATATGTTTGGGTTTTATTGCATTTAGTTGCACTTTTTCCAAGTTTCGTGGTTGGCACTGATACACACCAGCTACAGGCTACCGTGTTCAAGGTGGTTCGAAAAATATGCTGTATGGGGCGTGCAGTGGAACTGTGCTTCCTGAATAGCATTCACTTTACCTGAACATAGCTGAAGTTGGGTAGTCACGCTACATGATAGTACGGACTGTACATGAAGCCTCAACTCGTTTAGTGTGGAAATTGTTTGCATCTTGTCAATTGGTTCCGTTGAAAATTATCAAAAATGACGGCCAGAAAGGTTTAGATATTATCCAGAAGCGTTGATATTCAAGACACACGTAGCCCTGGGTGATATTTCTCAAGGGTAGGAGTCCATAGATATATTAAGTGCAGAAATGGCAAATTATAACTTAATCCACAGATTACCTATCTTCATTGACTGAATCCAGTGATATAAGCCTGCGTGATTGGCCACTTTCCGGTTTATTGCTATTTTATATATTGCTATAATTGGACTGAGTGCCTAAATAATGAACGACATAAGTAACTTTATTCAGCTTCATTACCATAAGTTGCAACACTGTACAGGAATAATGATAGTAGCTACAGGTAATTAGTTTAGAATCATTCGCTTGGCTTAGGATTGTAGCTATCCACAAAAAAAGGTTTCCTATTTTACCTTCGTGAACGTGAATTCGGAAACATGAGCTGGTGACACGAAGAAGCCAACTTCAATCGTTTGATGGATGCAGAATGAACGCTGCCAGAGATCGGAAACTTGAAATCAGTGCATCTAAATTGTCAGTGTTATTTGGAAAGCTTGGCTCATGTCATCTTCAGCAAGGTAGTTTTGACGAGCCAGGTAAACTATCAGAATTATCGGAATGATTTTTTAAGTGCCTTTCCCATCTAAGGCACCAGATTTCTCATTTGTGTCATTTTTATCATATTTGAACTAGGAGATTGACGAAATCGACAGAGATAAGAATTCGAAAGTCGTAAAAACAATCACAGTTTATGAGCATAAAGTAGGGCTCTCCAACTGTTCAGACTAGCCCGTGTACTCGCTACAAAAAACAGCTAGAACCACGCTTTCGGTGTTGTTTTTATCAGGCGTATCAACACAGTGAGAACAATTGCGTTTGAGCACCAGTAATTGAGGGAAATTAATCTGGGCTGATAGTGACTAAAGTTATCAAATTTAAATGTGTTGCACGAAAGGCTATTTAACCTACCCGGATTTTATGCGATTTCTTTTGAACCAAGCCATATACGATCATCACATTCGATATACTGATTCGCTGAACCTCTATTATATCGGACATGCACGTTCATTTCAGTCGCAAAACGGATTAGTCGATTAGTCTCGGAGAATGTGTATTGGGAGGTCTGAAGTTCTATCGAAATCGTCCCTAGACGAATGGCAGAAACAAACTGCTGTTTAAGAAACACGATGAAATTTATTTTTATGAGTAGGATACAATGTCCAGGCATACTTCTGGATGGTCCCATGTCATATGTTATCCTATTCACTGAAATCTCTTTGATTCACATAGACCGGCCTCACACATATTCAATCGGTTTTAAGCGTGGACTCTCAGCTGGCCAGTCCATAGTCTTGATATTCCAGCACAATAGCCACATTTTAGTCAGGCTGCCCATACTTATGTTTACGTCATCATGTTGAAATATCACTGTATCCAGTTGACTTCCTGGAATTATCGGAAGAATAAATGCACCAAATGATATGAAGGAGGCAACAGCCACCCTTTCTCATTCACTCGCAAAGACTTCCGTAGCTCTAACGTAACTGTAGTTTTCTCCGGAACAAGGATAAAGAGTTTTTCAAGGCCGGCTCGGATATTCTATTTTTTTATGTTGTCGATTTAGTGGTAGGGACCCTTCAAAACATAGCTATAAATAATTATCGATCTGAAGATTATTTTTATAAATATGGCCTAATCCGATTTATGAGTCATTATACGTGGCTAATTTTCCTTGTTTCAGCTTAAAGAACCCCGGACTTCGAGCCATCTTTCTGCTTCATAATTGAGAGGTTATCAATGCCTTTGAAAACTGGTGTTGATCGTAGCTCTGGTCGGTTGTTTCAAGCAGCTTGTGATCGCTGAGCTTGTCAGTTAGTACACTAACGTTTCCCCACCAGTCATGATGACATCGTCAGTAAGCCGGTGAGAGCCCCTGTCTTTTATGTAGCCATGGGAATCGTGGCCCTAGATTTGATCTTGATCTGCCAAGTGACCTTGAACTCATTATGTTATTACTTGTTTGAACGTGAACCTTTTGCCTCTTGGTGCATGCTTTTAGGTTTGGCAATTTCAACTATGACCTTCTGCAAAACCTTCCTAATTCAGAACCTTCACCTTTCAACTTATGTGCTGTCGGGGTTTTTTTGCAGGGTACTGGTTCACTGAATCTTCAGGGAGTAACTTCGATTGGTGTTTGCACACAGAACTGAGTTTCTTGGCCCTAGTTCTTTAGCATTAGGAGTCCGGTTGAATAATTTTGGAGAAGAACAATTCAAGATACTCAACGTGAGATTTTCCTTGATGGAGCGACCCCTGAGAACAATATAATAGTATCTAAGAAAATGACCATTCTTGTAAAAAACTCAATGGCTTGAAAGGGGGATGCCGTGGAAATCGACGAGGTAGAAAAGTGGGACCAAGGCTGTCTTCAAAATGTGGATCTGAATAAAGTCTCCGTTGTTCCATTGGTCAACTAACTCTATTTGTTCGATGATTCAGTATGCATTCCAGCTCATTTGGAGCTCTCAGATGTGCGAACTTGAAATTTGATTATCCATGGTTTTGTCTTTGACTACCACAAATATAATTGCGATCGTCAACTGTCAAGCCCATATCGGGGGCTAACGCATACGCGTTCGAAAAGTCTCCTGGGAAACGAAGAGCAAAGTTTTACTGAAACTCTGTGATAGTTATTTCGAGTTACTGGATCGCTTGACGTGGTAATGAACGAGATGCATACGTGAAATGATTTCGTAAGGCTCAAATATGCATTTGTATCGTATCAAGCTGCTTTGCCTGTGCGTTCATTTGAAATACCGAAAGGTCAATCTACAAACACCTGTGATGACCTGAGCGGTAAGTATGGAATCGAGTGATAGTCAGTTTGTTGATGTTCATCTCCTCTAAATTTTGGTTGGCTGTGTGAAAGATGTTGTCTAATATATCAAACGATACAATCGATTTGTTCCATGGACTGGAAAATTTGCCAAAGTGATCTCAAATTTTCCCGATGAAAATACCAAATGTGACTGGGGAAGCGAATGCTTCTCCTATGTGAGCGAATGATTCGGTATATTTTTGTGGGATTGAACTATGCACTCAGTAGTGAGACGTGTAGTAGTGATAACCTGTATGCGTTTGTCCGCTGGGCATGTTCTTTGTGATGATTTTCTGTGGTCTGAAGGTGTCAATATTGAGAAAAATCTCCTGATTGGTTTCATACCAAGACAAGTCTTATCGCGTGCTTCCCGATTTCTCTAATTGCAGTAGGCTTGGGTTTTTTCTAATTGGTTACAATTCTACTGTAATTCTCGTGGTTGGTATCAATACACGCCAGCTGCAAGGATTATTGTCCATATCGAAATCGAGTATTTGTTGTGTATTGTACAACGTAGTTCACCTTCGTACTAGGCGAGAATATTTGTGAAATTTCATCGATGCACTGAGTCTTATTACGGATTTCGTTGGGGTGCTTGTCTGCATGGGAGTTTACTTATGAGTATATAATATCTTATATTTTTTTGGTACCAGGGGGATCAAATAATTTTACCTTGTTTTTCTCATCGTCAAGCGGTGCAAGGAGATTTTCACGGTTTAAATCAGAACATAACTGTGATTTGTCTTCCTCGAGATGTGAAGTTCGGTAATAAATATTTCACGGACATTGCATCATCATCTGTGCACCTTATTTTACAAATCAGACTTCAATTCTAGGCAAACTCGGCAAACATGCCTGGCCGCACTTGCTTCATTCAGTAGCTGAGTGTGATAAGCCTGCAAATTTTCTATCGTTTGCATATACACCAACTATAGGCTTGCATGGTAAATAAGATGATTATGAGCAAGTATTGATTAAAAGGCGATTCAGAGGTGGGAGAAGGATTCACTCCAATTCTCACTGCACACCGATCGGTACTGTATTCAATCTAGTTCCCTTTCTGAAACCATTCGTATTACTACCTGAGTTGTTGTTTGAATCCACCACATCTGCTTGTAGAGATCATTTCTTCTCCTAGAATAAATCTCACGAAAAAATGTTACATGGTGGAATGCTCTCTAGTTCGACACTACTTTACAGGTAGTGATGCAAGAATGGAGGATTTAAATCAGGCACAGCATGAGCAGCTGAATTCAGCATCATTAGTAATTCGTAATGCTTTTAGTCCCGATTCGTACAGTTATCTTGAAAAAGTCATTTGCAGTTCAATAAATTAGTAGTAAAATGGAAACATTTCCAATATTACTCCAAAAACTAGGAGTCCATTGATAACATAGAGAAGAGCTTCTGCACAGCTGACATCGATCGTCAAAAGCAGTGCAGTTTGAACCCATTCAGAGTTTGTCGGATTTAAGTTGGAACCTCTAAGAGCTGAATTTGGCTTCCAACAAGAAATACTTGACAAATGAAATCGAGAAAAACCGAATTAGAATAACAAGTCGTGAACATGACATAGAGTGCCACTTACTTTGAATCGAATCCAAAGTACTGCCAATGAAACACTGTACGAATAAGCTCATGGAGATTAAAATATCAGATCCTCCGGCAGAATAGCTCTCGCTAAATTTCCCATCAGCTTAGGTTCATTCAACTCTTGCGGCAGAATTAAAGAACATTTGGGAAGTGTAGTATTCTGCGGCATTATCCCCAAAATTATGCAAAGTATTAGTTCCCAGGGAACCGTCTATTCATATAACCGTACGTAAACAAGTTCGGCTGAAAAAGCGATAATATCAACTGGGAAATCAGTTCGGCGGTTTTTTGTGTTCAGATAAATTTATTTTGTTTACAGCTACATTACTCCGACTATGTGGCTTGTGGAACATTCAGAAGTTGGAAAACCATGGTTTTCTTTAACAAACAAGTATTTAGTAACATATGCATCGAAATCTTCCTGTGTTGTGATAAACCAATATTTATTGGGCTTAACCCCGTCTGTAGTTGCCATTTTTTCATTGTGCGTAAGAGCAACATGATCATATTATGAATATGCTGAAGTAATTTGTTTTCCTCGAAGCTAGGCTGTTATACCACTCGCAATACCCAAGAGTCACTGGTTCTCAAATTTTGGTTGGAATCCTACCGATCTTGCATTTTCAATCTATTAACGATTTGTCACGATCGATGAATTCATATTTACCTGAAAACTATTGAATGTTTAGTGACACGGTGAAGGCAGAACTACAAGCACCTTGGAGGACTTTGCTGAACTATAAAACGATGACCTCAAATTTAATCGATTCCCGTTGTCTTTACAGAAGTGAGGTAGCAAAACTGGAGAATATTCGCACGGTTTGGGAGTATGGATCACTGCTTGATTTATTGAATCTGAAACGTCACCAGTCTGTAGATCGATTCTTTTGAAATACAAAGTTCTTGTGCTAAGTCAAATTATTACGCTATTCATGCAGTGGAAGAATATGACTGAAGAGAGCCGTTTATATCAGGTACTACCTTCAGAATCCCCTGGTCAGTATTCTTTTCGATCATATGCACTCTTCTACTAGTGACCGATTTCATTGATTGTTTTGCGACCAATGTTCACGTTAGTGTTCCGCCTAAAATAGTCAGTCAAATTGGAAAATGGATGACCTTGACCTACCGTGTTCAAAAAAATCGATCAGTCTTTCCTTCTTGACTTGAAATATGGCTTAGCTTTTAGGCCCATCATTTTATACGTATATAAAGAAGCAAATGAAATCACGATAGCACACCACACTCTTGTTCCTATTAAATTTTCAAAACGATTTCAGAGGAAAGCCTGCTAGTCATGACACTCTTTCTACTGTTTTGCTTCATAATATCAGTCGGTGCAGATGGTAAGTGAATGGGCAGAACAACTGCACAGTCCCCGTTAGATTGCTGTTTCCTTTAGGGCGTTTTTCGAATCATTTTAACTCCAGCCTATCCGGTTTAATCTTGATGTCATTTTCAAAGTTACCTTGACAGATGTTTTCACTGCTCATGTGATTCCAAACGGAACTGTTAAGAGATATATTCACGAAAACTGGGTCATTGCAATTTGGCAGGGTTCCGCCCTGTCTAGGCTTTTAAAAATAGATGGATTGGTATTTAGCTTTTCCATGTGACATTTTTAGTTGAGGGCACACGTGTTATAACATTATTTATGTTGAGGTGGTGCTCCTCAACAAAAGTATGATCGGACAGACTGGAACGTGATATATTTCGAGCCAATTTAGTTGTCATGTTCTGGGTGTCTTTCACGGCGCTCCACTAACCAAGTTATTTCTGATTCATTATTTCCCGTGTCACCGGGCCTGATGAGGTTCGTGATATGGAAGTCACCGGAATGAGTTCATAGGTAGTTTCGACTATTCAATGGCCATTTTGTGAGTCTCGCCATTGATCGAACGATGAATATTGATGCGCAAATTATTTAATTTTGTGTTTTATGAGGCCCATCAATCCATCACCTAATCCTTTTATTCGGAAGCTATTTATTAGTAGTTTTTTGTTTCACTTCAGTCTGGTAAATGTTGCATTACACTTACATACGATCAACATAAATTTTGTTTTTTTGTGTCCATTTTCAGTGAACTCGCATATACGTAAGTCGTTCGTTTACCGTGACTGAATTTTCACCCTCTAGCTTAGACGTAATATTTTAGGAGTGACAACCCAACAAGCAAATATTCATGAGTTGTGGCGGCAGGTTGTCTGTCCTACGCGCATTCAGTTTGCCCACTTTTTCATTCCAACCAATAAAATTGGTAGTATAACTACCATCATACATTGTTCAGATGCAAATAAGGGAGCCGTGATTGCTAGTCAATCACTTCAAAGCTACGTGTATCACGACGCCCAACACAGTACAATAAATATACGGTCTAAAATGCGCCTCAAATGACCTTTGCTGAAAGAATGTGATATTCCGTTACTGTGTTTGAGCATTATATAGAGTAGATACGGAAATATAAAAATGATTTTCCGGTGAACTGTCTCAACGGCTTTTTTTACCAGAGTAGCATGTGTTTGGTTTAAACTACTGACACTTGTTGTACATAAATGTGAATAAAATGTTCAACTAATACATGCCCCGACGAAATGTTGGAATATCTTACGCTTTTCGACAGATTTAGTCATTATTATCATGAAGACCTATAATGGCATATAGTAGTATACAATACAGACGTATGGTAAATGAATAAAGGACGCTCGGTACCAAGGTATGGTTCGATTTTAAAATATAAATTAATCAAACCACTTGGAGTGTGTTGGTTTGAGCACACTACGGTTCATGGTCGGAGAACTTTGCTTCCAGTCAGCCGAAAATCTACCTCTCGATTCGCATTCTTCTACACGCTGTTTTAGGTTCTCATGATTACTCACCTTTTGGGCTATTTAATTCGTCTTGACAATTCACTAGAATCACTAAGCTTCGTGTTGTGTTTCGGGATGTTATGTTCAAACTAGAGCAAATTGGAAGGAATGTCAAACTGATAACAAATGCTTTGAACAGAATTTCAATCAAAAATGAAATCGTCGAAACGAGAAAGGTGTACAGTAAACAATGGATTCATAGAGAAATGCAAATCAACTGGCATTTTTCATCTCCATGCATGAAATGCGTTTACTGAACCCACTCTAGTCTGTAGACTGAAAATCTCTCTGCTTTCTTCTATTTGTCCATGTTGTGCTTATCTTCTTTCCATCGGTATTCAAGTTAATTTCATCTCTATTGTTCCGCTTTCTTCTACCGTTGCTCATTGAAGTTTACCAAGGAAAGTGCACGCGAGCAAAAATCACTCTATCTGCTGATCACTTTGTATGACCAAGTGGGTCTTAGGAGAATGGTCCTTCGTGTTGACTAGATAAATTCTGGTGTTCAAAAGAATTACTCTAAACACTGGTGTGATAAGAGGTTTTGTTCCCCAATACAGGTTTTACTGCAGACGCTGACATGCACTCACGATGTTTCGAGAAGTTTGCGTTCGTGGATAAAATATTTGAGAATAATCAAACCTTTTCCTAGCCAAGTGAAAGCTTCAGATTTGCTCATGCTTAGCACAGAGTAACCCTAACTAATCGCACAGCGACTGAGTTGTTCTATCAAGCAGAAACTTCTAGTCGGATGAAAGATTAACTTTCCCAGTGCAAGCTTTGCCGTATCCGTGAGGAAATATACACAGCAAATGTTGTGTTGCTAAAAAAAACTACAAACTCGCCCCTGAAAATTTTTGTAGCAGATCTATTCGATCGCGGGTGAAAATAATGCTTGACTCAGAACAATTATTATACTGTTTTCATCCACACCAACCTTCTCTATATCGCAACAACTAATGGCCAACATTCTACCTGTTCATTTTCTCAGCCACGGTGCTACTGAGAAGCTGTAATCCGATAAATAATCCTACCTCCATAATGAGGAATTTCGACAATTCTGTTATAAACGGAATATCGGTACTCAGCACAGCAGCCAGTCAATTACAATGGCCGAATTGTTTTACCCTTATAAGGCAAACGGCCTGCGAGATCTCAATTCCTGCTAATGAATATACGGTGCACTGTTTTGCGAAAAAAAGTTTATTTGATGACTGAAGATCAACCTGTTCACCATTGTTGTTCGGATCAGAAATCCCGAAGCTAATGCGGTACCTTTGTGCCTTTTCATGTGTGCGTAATACAGAAACATAGATATCCTAGATCTTAAATTTGGAAAGAAACTGACAGACTGTAAATTCAGCGTGAATTCCTTATTTTCCACTGGGATCATTACCACTTAAACTGGAATGCTATCTCCGTGTAAAATATGGGCCCCCGAAATTGTGCTTTTTTGTTGCAAAATGTTAATTTATTGATTCATACACAACTATTCAAAAATCAATAACACGGCTGTCATACATAAGTTATATTCAGTTTCTATCTGCTTCAAGAAAGCTAAAATATATCGGAGGATTTACCGAGATATTTCACGGAAAATCGCGTTTCAAATTTCTTGAAGCTGAGAGGTGTCATCTTTGCACAAGAAACAAACGGCTTATTCTAAAGTTCACGACCCATGCTGAAGAGAAATTGGTTCCTCTAACTACATTCTGTGATTGTTTAGAGATGCAATAATCTGGGTTTGTTGAGAACTTTAGAACGATAAGCTCAGAAACTTTGGAGTTACTCGGTCCGAACCTCAGCTCCCTAATCATTTGACTATGAATTCTTTTGAACAAAAGAAGTTTTCTTTGGGATGATTGGTAACCATACGGAGTTTATTGACCACTCAATCTTGTGGATAAAAGCCCACACTTATGATATGAGGGATAGAAAATTGCAGTTCATGCATATTATCCGCTTTTTGTTCTCATCTTCTTGTGAGTAATATCGGTACTCTTTGATCACTCTACAGGAAATTCTCATAATCGTGAGTTTACTCGGTATAGTTTAGGCAACTAAGCTCTACCTATCAAGAATAACCATCGATTTCGTATTTACTATCATGGATAGACTGGTTTTACAACCGATTGTAAAACCAGTCTTGAAAAGGTTCACCCGTGGTGACCGAAACGTCGACAACCTACCAACGATTTCGACTACGCTGTGGTATTGAGCAATAAAACTCTAACTCTTCATGCTTTGTTTCACTCAACAAAACACTTTCATTATTCATCTGATTAGAGACATTTTGCTCCGTCAAGACACTGAATTTCCCACTTCCACAAAGATTGTATTTGTATTTTTAAACATCTTCCAGCTGATTTCATTGAGACAGTTTTTTCCAGTCCATTGTAAGCTCTTTTCGCCCACACCTTACACTCATATTTCCATGACTTGTGTTTCGGAGTGTGGTCCTAAGACTGACCAGTGCATGTCACTCCCAAAGCAGGCTCATACTTATTCACTGTTTCATCGTGAATAAGTGAATAAGTATGAGCCTGCTTTGGGAGTGACATGCACTGGTCAGTCTTAGGACCACACTCCGAAACACAAGTCATGGAAATATGAGTGTAAGGTGTGGGCGAAAAGAGCTTACAATGGACTGGAAAAAACTGTCTCAATGGAATCAGCTGGAAGATGTTTAAAAATACAAATACAATCTTTGTGGAAGTGGGAAATTCAGTGTCTTGACGGAGCAAAATGTCTCTAATCAGATGAATAATGAAAGTGTTTTGTTGAGTGTTATAAATAACTGAAAACCTCAACTCACGAAAACCGTTTTTATCAGCTGATGGTTGTTGAACTTCACGTTTAAGAGGCAAACATTTCATCACCAGCCAAGGTATCACGATCAATGCGCAGATGAAGGTGCGCGTACTGATCTGTATACATGTGAAGCTCGACTTGATCTCTCGGGTAGTCTTGACCATATATTTCAATATAGTACTGAAAACAGCAAGCCGTTAGAATGTGAATGTGATGTGTCGGGCAAACGTTGTTCCAAGTGGCTTAAAAAAAGAGTCTCAATGAAATCAGAAGGCAGCTGAATAATGAAAATACACACATTTTTCATGAAACTTAGGAATTCAGGGTGCTGAGGAAACGAAATGTCCCTTATCAGAATAACAGTTCAAAATTTCTGTTGGATAACGGAGATAACTGAAAAATCCATCTCACAAAACCAGTGTTACAGCCCGGTGATATTGGTGGTAATTAGGAATATTATACGTATAGAGCACCATAAAAATCTGAGATTAGTCGGTCAACGGAAAAGGGTAAACTTCCCTGCTCTATTCTGAAACATACGAGACATCCTGTAATGCAACCAGTATTTCTCTTCCTATGTGGATCGGAGTGAATCTATGATGATCACAGTTCTTAATCATGTTACAGGGGATTGAAAAGAATCGGTTGGTACACGATTGACTCATTTGGATGAGAAAAATCACATTAGCTGCAAACAGTCAATTGTTTTTCTACATGCATTGTAAAAGCGGAGAACTGATGCTGTGTATACAATGAAACGCCTTCAAAATTTTAGTCTTCAATGTCCTGAATCCCCGTAAGTGTTTAAAATAAGCGGAATAAAAGCCGTAATACCAGCGCCTGAGAAATGTGTACAGAAAAGACATTGATCATGGTATTGATTTTTACGCAGTATAACAACTCAATAGTAGTTTTGTGGGAATGCTTGAGTGATAGTGAGCACATATTTATAAACCGCGATTCGCGTTACGGCTTCTTAGTTCGAAAATGTATTTCCCATTCGTTTCTGTGCAATGAAATCGCAATATGCAAGGAACATTTCAGTTCATTCAGTTGATCAGCAAGGAGCATAGCCTCGCCCGCATACCTTGAATAAGACACAAATTCATTACGTCACCGATGTAGTAATTTTCTAATATGATCATTCAATAAGCTTGAATAATATTTAGTTTTATCTTTCCCTAACAATACAGGAAAGTTTTTGCATGATATTTCAGAATGTATCAACATATTTTGAAATGTCCAGTTTCGGGTTCATCAATTGAAATCGGTGTTGCCATTGTGTAGTATAACATGGGGTTTCGAATGTCCCGAGATCAATCGGATTCCGTCAGTACATATCGTGCGTCGTAATCACCTGCGAGTCTAACAAAATTTGTCTATTGTGATAAAGGCCGTAATTCAAAATAATTGGGAAATCATGGAATACCAAACGAAGTGGCTCAACATATGTTTCAGTCATGAGTCTGTGAGAGTTTTTTTGAGAAGGGTGTTGAAAAAACTACAGTCATTTTCTGCTTGGTGAATTTCTTTGATTATTGAACCCATCGACTACATCAACTCCATGGAATTTAAAGGCAGTGTCGAACATGATCCACGATGTACGAAATCGGTGTGTGTAAGTGTGATTACCGAAATAACAGTATTGGAAATCTTTTTGATACCCCTTTGTTTCTAATTAGAATGATGTGATGCACGTGGTTTCATATCAGTCCCACATTACAGACAACTACGTTGTGTCGAAAACTAATTTTTTACATATGGCAACATTTTGGAAGTTATAAATACTTCACTTATTAACGGAATGCAGGGAAAATATTTGTGAGATATTCCTCATTTTACACGAGTAAATGAGAAATAAGCCAGCCCCTGGATGCTGGGTGTCAACACTACGTTGTTGACTCACGCGAATGAACTACCATAAATCCGAATGATCGAATTTCTCGTTGACTACAAAGCCGGTGCGCTCATATGTTCGGAGATCAATACAAATAGAAGCTGTACTTGTAATTTTCCTCAGAGCATATCAATAATTGATACGAATAATTCTACAAATTGATGCCAATTATAGGTGAGGCGAAGTGGTTTCAATGAGATAATCAGGTTTATTTGATTAAATATCTGGTTTTGATCACATCGTTAACTCAGCAAAAACTTTATCACAAACACAACCGACAAACGAAATGTGGGGATTGCTGTAAACCTTATATGTCAACCCTGTGCTTTTATCAATAGTTCAGCTGAGATTTCACTATTATTATGATAACGAACAATAGCTTCCACGAGACACTCAACTTCAGATGTTTGTCTTTCTTCCAAATTTTAGCCGCACTACGGGAAAGTTTGCAAGGTTCGTTTGATATGCTTGCTGTACAAATCGTGCGTAACAAAAGGCTAGTGAAGGTTGACACGTTCGACTCAAGGAATCCCATATCACGTTTGTGCAATTGAGGTGGTATACATTGAAGAATGCTTTCTCAGTTGATTACCGAACTGTCATTTCAAAATGAATAAAATGTTTAGTATGAAATGTATGGGTCTGCGGCCTCAAGAATATTGATTTAAACGTGAACTAATGCCCACAGGAATTGGTTTCATGGATACATTTCGTGAAGTCTTGTGTCGACGTTCTCTTGGCAGTTCAAACCATGGATGCAATGGAGTAGCTTTACCGTTTAGCTTATTGTGATTGACTAGTGTGGTGCACATCGTGCACATTTCAGCTCCTCACGCTGAATGAGACTAGCTTCGTAGTGATTCCGGAAATGTAGCATTCGGAATACCCACACCGGCCATCAACTGCCTACTGGCACTGATATTATAAGATATATATCTGATCATTTAAAGTTTTCGACAAGTGGCTACAAAAAGAAGCAAAAATGACGACGTCACTCAAGAACAAGCGAGCTAATCTATCACATAGGACTGGTTAGGAAAATTGACGCACTCAGGCGAAATCTGAGCAGGTCCGGGGACACAAATATCGGAATACGAATAATCCAACAAATCAGTTTGACCGGTGGGTGCATATTTGCATATGACACCAGCATAACTGATTAACAGGAGAGCCGCTCTGTTTTCAACTCACTCCGACAGAAGGGACAAATGTGATGTGCGAACTGAAAGAGCAGAGTATTGGTGGAAATGTCAAAAATGAAGTCCGCGAGCTTTATATATTTGAATGGGGAGATGAGTGCCGATTCCATGGGAAGAAATTGAAAGTATGTACATCATGTTTTATGTCACATGAAATAATTGGTAAGCAAGTGTGAGGTAGTACAAAAAACTGGGCAAAGTGTATCAAACCTAGAAGTTTCGACGTTGAAAAACAAAATGTTTGGAACTATTTCGAATAGCTGGAGGCTCAGGTGCACGAATGATTATAATTCAAACTGAATTCCAGCCCCTATGGTGGATTGTCGAACCGAAGATTTCCGCTATCGAGATGGATTTACCAACTGAACACTGATTTCTTCCGTGGTTTTTACCGGTCAGTTAAAAGTTTTTGTATCAAAACCGATAAGACAAACAGATTATTCTACAAGCGGGTTGTATCCAAAGATGAAGCAAACAGTTCCAAAAATTCTATTGCAGCAATGGTGACAAGTAAGCAATAGCTACTTGGATCTCTCTGCATTTGTATTACTGTCCAACTTACTTCCTCAGGAGATGAATCGCATAACTGATAACAACCTTTTTAACTAAAAAATTCAGCATGTAAAGATATAAGAAAACAAAGGCATGCTTTCGTACCTGGGAACATTCATGCACCCGAACACATACTGGCAAACAATACTAGAAACTGACAGACAGACTATCAGATAATAAATGTGAAAATGGCCTGAATATGAGCACCGAACATTAGAATTCCAGAAAAGATTCATAATGAACACTGCCTCAAAAGCGTTTGCTCAAGCAGGCTTAAATGGAAAACACTTTACCCAAAGACTAATCGAAAGATAAGTTGAACAGAGGTAAAGTTGGTTATAAAAATCGAATAAGATAGGATTCACGGATAGTGTGGTTGAATTTTATTACCATCGTATTTCACATGGTACATTTGAATGAATATAAATATTCACTTTACAATAGAGAAGCGTTATTTGAGAGATGACCAATCAGTCAGCACTGCCTCCAACACAATCAACCAGGAACCAGTGACCAATTTTTCACAGGACTTAGATATTTCACAGTGTCCAGAATGAACACATGAGAAGTGGTGACTTTCAGAGTAGATCATATTGATGAATACATATTGTTTGAGGATAAAACAGCTCTTCACAAACCAGTGAGTACTATCCTCGATAGGATTCAGAGAAAACGCTGATGCAATGCATCTTTCACTCAATCATGTTGCATTCGACAAAGCTTCTATCACGCAGAGTAAATGAAAAATGGTGCGAGGGCAAGTTATCATTCAGTAAATTTTCAGAAATGCATTTCAGAAAATACTTGCCTCGTTTTGATTGTAATTGTGTCCCAAAACAAAACAGAAATCCAAGAAGAAATCCGCGAAGGTGAACTTATTTTCTCTGGTCCAAATGACCTCCCAGTTCGGTATTTTTTCTTTTTTTGGGGGGGTATGCACATCAAGTTCTCACACCGTCATTTTAAAATACCCTGCCAATGTTATGTTGTTTTATTAGCGTGGTACAAAACGGTTACTCACTTATATGGATGAGTGAAATCCGATTACTCAAATAACTAATGGGAATACCCAATCGGATGAGTGCCAAGTGTTTAGGGACTTGTACAACTTATTAAACAGAGATGTTCTTAGCCAGGTGCTTCATCCGATCTTTTTCATAATGGATGTCACAAGGTCCAGCTACGGTAAAATAAGCGGACTCGTATGCAACAAAATTTATCATCTGGGTTCGGCCACCGAAAACGATGCACTAAAGACGTCAAACCGACCTAGTTTTCAGCACAATTTTACCATTTGCACAATTAACTTTTCACGTATTTAGCATAGACTACGATTATTTGGTTTTCGAAGGCACAATAAACCCCCGCGACAACTCAGCTTCATAATATGTTTCGTCACGCAGTGTGAACGTTGAAACCATTGAAAACCATGGAAGCATTGTATAGCTGTTTCATTCTTGTTAAGGGTTATTAGTACTGTTTATACACTATGCGCCAAATTGAACTCGAACCCGGGTGAAAAATAACTGGTGGAACAAATTTACTACCAGGCTTTCAAGGGTGGTTCACCACTGTTTATTGTACTAATACACTGCGTGATATAGCTTCTTTTCAAGCTGACTTCGATTGTTACCAGAACATTTCCGGCACATCAGGCAACTAGTTTGCAGGATGGCTACTCTATAGGGGCCAATGAGCACGGAGGGGTTCCATTGAATAACCTGCACAGCTTGACTACTATGTGAGTGTGCACTGCTGACGAATCCTAACAGGGATGAAACAGCTGTACAGTGCATCATCATATTATATTAGAACTCTAATCTCTTACCACTCACACTCAGTTCAGTACCAATTGCACAAATAGCGAAATAAATATCTATTCTACAACAATATGTGTACATCTTAACTCGGAAGAATACGTGGGTGGTTCAATATAAATCACAAACTAGTATACGCGAATAGGATACAACAATTATATAGAAAAAATGCCAGCAGATTATTGTGTCACTTTCAGTATAATACATGATAAGCGATAAGTGAAAACGCAAAATCACTTATATCATGTGTTGTTTCTAAACACAGACCAAACCGAGATGTAATCGTATAAGATAGTCTAAAATTCAGCATGCTTATTCTCTGATTGTACAAGTGAATATTTTGATTTGTCTTCATGTGCATGTCCATATTCTTAGGTTTATTAACCATGCACTGATAATGGAATCACCAATGGTATCATTGGAAAATGGGAGCTGCATACGTGAACGCCTTTATCCAGTAACAGATATAATGATTACAAGCATGCTTGCCAAACTAAATCTCTGTCCGTTTCAAATTCATTTGTGCATGACTGACTGGAACACGGAAGCTCGATGAATTCCCAAATCAGTTTGGCCCAGAATGTTATTTCCTTTCTACAAAATTGACATTCAACAGAAATGAGTAAATTCCTCCATTTGTTGCATTATTGTCTACGAGTATCAGTTGTTTGCTAACAGCTCTACCAGAAAATGGAGGACTTGTACCGTTTGGCGGTATCGCGTTTGTCTTTGAGGCTTCAAGATCATGTTATATGTTGTTGATAAATCAACACTTGCTAATCACTTGGGAAGTCTGTACTTTAGGATCTTAATTGTTTTATTTTTACTACGTCATTTGACACAGTGAAGGGCATTGCCAATAAAGGTATGTTATTTGCCTAACATTTTTAGTGACAATCATCGCGATGAAGCGCCTTTACGAAGCGCTTATATGCAAATGTTTCAGAAACTGACAACATCGCCAGTTCTACAATATGTTGCATCCGATTTCATAATGCTAGCGAAGACTTCCGACTCATGTCATGCCTGGAACAACTCTGGGTGTATTTGATATATTATATGGATTGTACTTTCAGTACAGCAACTGAGCTAGCAGAAGAAATTATATTTCCTCAGAAACATTTTTTTATTTAAATACGACTTCGTCAATGAGTACACAAGTCGATTAGCATCACTTATTTGACCTACCAGAAATTATTTAGCAATAATTGGGAACATTCCGAAGTATGCTACGGAAATGTTGGTCCAGACGGTTAGAAAACAAATAATTATTCATTTTGTGCTTCATTCTGTAAAGCACATGTCGTTGTCGAATCAAAAATTGGATTGTTTTCCATTCTGTCCGCGTATTAGAATATCCTACTGTACATTGCTTTTAGAAATATAAAGAGCACGTGAGTACAGGAATGGAAGTTACATGCAAAAATTACTTTCCATCACCCAGGACGACGATGCCTTGGCTATAAAATCGGATATTCGATGGAAATTTGCACTTTCCCTCCTAAACACTTTTTGACAAGATTCCAGCAGCCAACGGCAACTTCGCCAAACTTAGGGCGACTGTTTGTTAGGCCGAGGACAGCATTAGAAATAAAGAAAATGGTATTAAAATCCCATCCCGATGATAATCGTATGAGACTGTTTTCGAACAGGGCGATCGACTCTGAATTTCGCAAATGGAAACACTTATGTAAACAGTGCTCGATTATATCATTATTGCTATCCAGCAATGGCTACTTGTATACTTCTTGGATCACTGAATATTAGTACAAACTATTTGCTTCTAAATACTTCATTGTATTTTTCAAAGTGACTTGATTTACTATTCAGTTCACCAGGTCAGCTTTTCACGCCAGGATGCAAATACTGGAAAAGCTGGACGATGTATATGATTTTGATGTGGAAAAGTGTGTGTTTCAAGCTGAACCAGCTATTACATACAACTGAATCAGCAAGATAGGTGTTCCGGAAAGATGAAACGAGAAT